CCTATAATACCGAGAAATTATAGAATGGTACGGTATCACCACGTCATATAGGGATACTCCCACCCAAAATCTGCCACTCGTCACTTTTTAAAGAAAACTACTTTTTATTTATTTATCATGTAGTGTGTTACAGTCAATGTAGTACGTAAAAAGAAAAAGTCTCTCCTTCTCGTCTAGAGTCGTGAGAGTTTCTAGAGTGTGAGAAAGAGTCCAAGATTACTCTTTTGGTAGTGTAGTTGAGTGCATGTCACTGTGAGAGGCTTTATTCTCTTGGCCAGGTAAGATTCTTGATTGAATCTTTGCTGCAATGGATGCGATTGTGGACAAACTTACCATGCAACTCAATCTCACTGAGGATGAAAACAGGTCTATAGTATTTGAGCGACCTATTGGAAACAATAGGCAAGCCCAACGTCTCTTTTTAGTTGGAAGGCTTCTCAGCCTAAAGGATTTTAAGGTACATTTCTTTATGAGGACCATGAAGAAGCTTTGGTCACCACGAGCTTGTGTAGAGATCTGCCAGTTGGAGCATGGGCAGTTTTTGTTCTCCTTTATGTCAGAAAGTGATAGAAATTGTGTGCTCAAAGGTAGTCCTTGGAATTTTGAGAATGCTCTTCTGCTCTTGGGAGAAACTGATGGTTTTGAAGACCCCCATCGAGTTCCCCTCACTACACAACCTTTGTGGATTAGAGTGAAGGGTGTCCCTCTGGTATATATGGAGAGGAGTACCGGGCAACTCATTGGGGATATTTTGGGGAGGTTTATTGAGACTGATTCTGGAAGATGAGGTACTTTCCTAGGAAGTTTTCTCATAATAAAAGTTGTTATTGATGTTACTCAACCCCTGAAACGATGTTTGCATTTTACTTTCCCAGAGGTTGGGAGTCGCCTCCTTTTGATTAAATACAAAAAGCTTCCAAACTATTGTTATTTGTGTGGCCTTTGTGATCATGTTTTGAATCAGTGCTCGCTTCGGGATTCTGTTTTTAACCATGTGGATTTCAAACCCTTTGGTTCATGGCTCAGAGCAGAGGTCAAAGAATGGTTAGATGAACATGAGATGGAACCACCAAGGTCACTACGGTCGAGATGGGTGATGAAAGTGTTGGAGAAAATGGACAAACACTTTCACACACTCCCCTAATGATCTTGTTGTTGATGGACTTTGTGACACACACAAGGATGGATGAATCACACACACACACTTGAGAAACCAACCAAGCACAAAGTGACACGAGAATTTATAGAGGTTCAGCAATTGCCTACATCCTCTTGGTGATCCCCTTGAGAAATTCACTAATGAAAGAATAAGTTACAACTTTGATTTACAAAGAAACCCCCTTAGAACTCTATTCTCTCCCAAGCTCTCTTTTATCTCTCACCCCTTACTCAACACTTTGATGCACTTGTGAACACTCTCATACACTTGGTGTTTCCCTTCTTTGGTGTCTAGACTCTTAAGACCCAACTCAGCTCTCTCCTGAACTGATTGCCCTCTCTCTCTTCCTCCCTTGGTAAGTTCAACCTCTTGGACACAATAGCTCCCAGCTACTTGACCACTCCTTGAGATTAACCACCCAATTGCTGTCTTGCTTCCTCTTCTCTTTAATACACAAGCTTTTGGACTTAGGAGAAGACTCCATTCTTTTCTCCCACATTCTCCCCTTGGTTTCCAGACTTGGACCACAACTTGGGCAGAACAAAGGCTAGTCATTAGAGGCTTTACCTTCAACCACCCTATCTAGAGCCATAGGGTAGGTACTCCTTGAAGCAAGTCAACAAACATTGTTTAATAGTGTTCCAGCTTTTCCAGCACCTTGCTAGACTTCCTAGAACCCATAAAACACCTTAGAGGCCTGAAGGATTAGGTAGGGAACCAACACTTGTGAAGACCTCTTGAAAAACGCTTGGAAAAAACAGCACAGCAAGCTAGCGACCGGTCGCTTTACATGCTGCCTAAAAGCGACCGGTCGCTGGTCGCGATTTTCCAGCTTCTCTTCAGACCTCGAATCTGCTTCAAAACGACCGGTCGCCAATACCCAGCGACCGGTCGCCTCCTGTTTCACCAGCATACTAAATGTGAGCCAATTTTCCAACAAAAAGCGCCAAGCTCCGACGAACTAGGCCTTGCCAGTGAAGTCCGGCACCGAGAAGAGGATGAAGATGAAGGGGATCAGTTATGGTTGGGGAACATTAATGCGAATAATGGCTTCATTATGGCTGACCATCACAAGAGGCATAAATTAGGCGATGAGGCCATTTAAGGAAATTTAAATCATGAGCAATTTTTGGGGACTGATTCATTGGCAATTAAGTCACCAATGACTGTTGAGAAAGGAAAGAATATAATTGACAATGGTGGTTTTTTCCCTCCCTCAATTACTGGAGTTAAAAGCTGTCATAATTCCAATACTATGGGTCTCAACCCATCCTTTATTCAAATAGCGGGTCTGCAAAGGAAGCAAGTTAGTGGGGCAACTCAAACTATTAACCCAAATCAAAGTGGGCGCCGATGTCTATCGTGGAAGGCTAAGGCTCGAGCAACCCAACCGGTATCTAAGGCCCAAAAGGGTGATGAGAACCCTCAGCAATCGGAGCTGAACAATGTTCAATTGGAGATTCTTACAGAGACGGGGTTAGCAAGGCTACCCCGTCAATTTCAATGAGACAAATGGAATGGAACATGCTGGGGTTTGGGAACCCCTACATATTCCATGCTCTAAGACAATTCCTAAGAGCTCAAGACCCCATTTTTGTGCGAAGACTCTAGTTAACCTCTTGATGATCATTTTTCTTGAGATGATTTCTAGTGTTCAAAATGCCTTTGGTCCTGTCTGTTCCATTCATGATAATCTTTTGCTTTTGAGCCCATGCTTTCAGTCAACAAACAATGATGAAAATATGAGCCAAAGGTTGTTGTGATGCTTGATGTCAGTATGGCATATGATTGACTTGAATTTTCTTATTGTCTTTGTCCTCAGTTTGTGTCTTATTGTAGTCATGCTAAGCTTGCTCTAGGTAGTGTGTCTTCAAATGCTTGGCTTGAAGAGGATCCTCCAAGGCCAATGTGTCTCTGCTAGTTGACGTTGTTATTTTGGTTTTGTTTTGAGTTTAGTTTGTAGCCTTTTCCATTTAGATTGCCCACGTGCAATAGATTTACAGATCCATTTACTTTTCTCCTCACAAAGCCTCTGCATCTCCATTTCAGAGTCTTCAATTTTCTGTCTATGCTCTGCATCCAGCTACCATAAACATTTAGCCCAATATGAGAATAAACGTAGCGTACTATCACACTAATCAAAATGAAAGCATGCATCCGCTATAATATGTGCCACTATTTTGGTTCTAATTGTTATTGTCCAATAATTTAAACCTAAAATTATATACAAAAATACACTAAGATTGAGAAAGACGAAGAAGAATTGAGGAGCAGAGGTAGAATTCGAAAAGGACCCGTTGATCTGTATTGTGTATTTACATGAGTTTCAAATTGGAGATTCCCAAAACCAATTTAATCATCATGTACTGATCGGTGCATATTTACATATCATTTTGTACCCTTCTAGCTTATGATTTGGTTATGTTTTTGAGTTAAACTTGTGCTTTTAATCCTTTTTGTGTTTATCTTTCAGTTCATTGAGCTTTAGGTAATAATGAGGGCTTTGGATAGTAAATGATGCAATCCATGCATGTTAGGGCCTAATTTGGATGAATGGATGAAGAGCTTAAAGACAAACTCAATTTTGGCTACAGTCCCCTGCCAGCTCAGTTTCGTAGGTCATATTGCAAGCTTTGTTTCAGCAACCTACATAGCTCGGATGAGGCCACATTCTTCATGAAAGTTGTTCCAATGGGTGTGTAATATAACATATCCAAAAGTCAGCCCCATTGGATAAATATGGAGTCTGTTAACTAGCAAACACAGAGCCATGCTCAGGATGGATTTTATCAGCGCGCAAAATGAGTTAGCAATTTGTTTTGGCCTTAACTTCCTTCTCCGACCTTGGATTGGCCCAAATGATATATAGATGGAAAGAAGACATTCTGAACTTCAAGTTTGAGTGCTTAAAGTCCTAATTTGATTAAGAGAAGCCCAAGTTGTAAGCCCTTGAAGTTGCTGGTCATGCTGACCTCAAGATGAGCTATTATTTCTGGTTGGAAGCTTGGTCATGGTGACATGAAGATGAGCTAGGGCTGCTGGTGGGATCTATTGGTGAAGTGCATCAACCAATTCAGATTTTATAATGCAAGTGTTGTATGCATTAGTGAAGTGCATCAACCAATTCATCTTTTATAATGCAAGTGTTGTATGCATTAGCCATATTGAATTCAGATTTTCACTTCCCCTAGGCCTATAAATAGGGAAGTTCTCTAAGCTTGTAATAACACCCCAAGGGGGGGAGCTCTCAAGCACTTCTCTAGAGCTCCCTTCCCTTATCTCCCTCAAATTCTCTTAATTTCCCTTTGTAGTTCTCAATTGTTGTAATAAGATCATTCTACTAAATTTTCTTCTCCAAATCTCTCAAACACTTCTCCCATCTCTAAAGTTCTCAAACACATTTCCCTTCTCTTCCAAAAGTCTCCATGTCTCAAACACTTCACAAACACATTTCTCTTCCTTCCCTAAGTTCTCAAATTCTCCAAGTTCA